TCTTCTTTGCTAGGTTTATTGACGCCTGTTAAACATAATCAAGGTGCATTACCGCCATCCACTGTGTTTCAATATCTTACTTCTTCTTCTTCTTGCTCATTCGCTAGTGTATCTCTTATTACCCTTGATATATAATAGCTTCTCCTTCGTTTTTGGTCTAGTGGCCGGGTCTCTTTTTTGGTCCCTGTTCATGCTGTAGCAGCAGCTTATCAGTAGGTCTCATCAATGAACACAATGTTTTCAGACAAACCATTGGGGGAGTGGCTATTATCACAAACAGAAGACAGTTTATTATTTACTTTTGTAAACGTGATAAGAAAAATTGGCTCACTGACTTTCAGTTTCCACCCCCATCAGTTATGACATCAGTATCAGTAATGCATTTGACATGGGACGGCCATGTTTCATCCAGTGCAGGAATAGCAACTGTATCCAAAAGACAGATTATCACTAAGCAGGCTCCTTACTGCGATGCGTTCAGTAAAGGGTCCATGATACATTTTGTAGCTTTTATTAATAATTAAAGTCAATAATTAAATGTGGCGGTTAACAGAAAATATTGGAGCCCTACTCTCGTCTTTGTCTATAACCCAGCAAACAATTTTAACAGGTGAGATAGAGAAGAAAAACCACACCTCTTGCTCCTCTTACCCAGTACTTATAATATAGCAAATATCTGCAGCCAAAATGAAAACACAAAGACTAAATGTTAACTTTGGCTCCTGCAGCAGGTTATGTACCATATGCAGCACATACACTAAAAAGGCTTTCTCTGTGTTACCTCTGCTAATGAAGTTATATCTTCATTGCATTGTTTGACGCAAAAACTACTGTAGTGATTTTCTTGATAATTTGGTGGAACGGTGGGGTATGGGCAATGGAAGAACCAATTCACTTTGGGACCGGGTTAAGGAGGGCAGATCCACGTTTTTATTTTGAACTTTCTTTAACATTGTAAGATTCATCATTTTTGTGAATTTCTCAAGAAATAAGATCTTGATTAAAAACATCAGGCACACTGATTTCTGATGGATCTACAGATAGCTACGGGTTTGTGCAATGCGGTGTAGCTTGATGGAATAAAAGTGACAATTTGGCCTTAGTGGAGGTATGTTAAATCTAATTTGATTTACAGTGCATTGCTTTAAGGCCAATAAATTATATGGTAAACAGAGCCAGCAATTGGAGTGATAACTTTGTACAGTTGGTATATTGGTGCAGAATACAGCTCTAATATCATTTGTTAAATATTCCTACTATAATCTTTTTTCTTCTATGTTCTAGCAATAAAAGGACGAGCAAATCAATCCATATCTTATGTGTTATTCAAGGGCAATCTGAGTGTGATGAAATGTGAGAACATCTTAACTTTAGCACTTTGTCAACCAGTATGAACGCTGCAGTACTGTTGTCTCCTTCAAAACCACGTAAACAGTGAAGATACTTTTTACAGAGGACTTTTTTGAGACGTCACAGATGCAAATAAAACATTTCATGGAGGCTGCATCAGTTTCAGGGTTCTCTGCTTTTCTCTTTGTTTTGCGATGACAGTCACAAAGTCTGCTATGAAAAAGGTCTGTGAAATGAAGAACTAACACTATGCAGCACTGTTTGTAGATTTACAGACAACAGTAATATTTATGCTGTTGACAGAATAAAATATTTAGAGACTCCACATTTCTCAGCGTAGAGAAGCAGAAGCATTCTAAGATATAAGATTTATATTTTTTGCTAAACTGTGATACATATTTATGTTGCTCTGTTTACTTGGAACATGGTATAATCTGACCTGAGAATGTCTTTGGAAAAGCCTGAGCGCAGCGAGGATGTGAAGGAGTCCAATCAGCAGCTAATGGTGGCTCACGTGAGGCAGTTCTCTGGTTTACGGCCTGGATAGCTCCTGGATTGATGGGGACTGGCATGAATAATTTAGGCCTGCATTATACTGGGCGGAAACGGTGACTCATGGATGAGGAAAAGCTGAAATGCTAAGTGGTTTAGAGACTGCTGCTGCCTTGTCTGAGGCCAATGTCTGCCAGGCTTTCATGAATGGCAGAGCTTCCACTCACTTTGTAGCAGATACAAGAACTGAATACATGGCACACACACAGACTGAATTTATATACACTGTTTATGATATTCAGCAAATGTTAGCAGCTCTCTCACAAATGTCAGTCTTACACTATATGTTTTTATTTGCATGTATCATCCTGTGCAATTGTGTTCAAATTGTCTCAGATCAAGGTAATGATAGTGGATGAGCAGCTAATTAACCACCACAGGTCTGAAACCATATGGAAGAAATAAGCACCAGTCCATGTCCCCCATCTACCCTGTGTAACTATACAACCCGCTGGAGGCTCAGTGCATAGCAGAGCGCTCTATAAATAGATCTCCCCTGCAGCTTCGGAGTAAAGAGTAGAGTTAGTATGTGCATTAGTGGGTTGGCACGCAACATGAATGGCTAGAAGTTGACAGGGAGGAAGAAAGAGGGGTGATGAAAACAACCAGCCACTCAGTACGTCACCAGTCATGCTGCTACATCTTTCATTTCATCCTGCAGTGACTGATGATGAACTGGAGGCAGATTAAAACACTCACATGTAGATTTGGCTTCATACATGCAGCTGAACAGGGTATTGATCGTGACTGAGCTTTTACAGATTGTTGATGCCAGATTGAATACCCCCCCAGGCCTTGTTCCTCTGTTTATATACTATATATATTTCTTTTTCTACTTATATGTTCCTGTAGACATCTATGCTGTTTAAAAATGTGCAGGATGTTATGAAAACTCACCAGGCAGGACACATTTTTGATCCAATCTCGACTCTTTCCCCCCTTGATAAACACAAACGTTGGAAAATGTTCAGATTACTTTTAAATTTGCTCCGCTCACTTGGGGCACACTGATCCAAATCTGTTTCTCGGCTGCCAGAGGAATACATCCCAGTTAATATTTAATGAGGGGAGATGCAGGAAGCAAATCAGTGCTCTCTGCATTTGGATTTGTCCCAACTCTTGTTAAGGCATCATGGCGGCGATAGAAACCAGAGTGTCTGTCGTGGGTCAGTCATGCCTCACCGGGAAACTATGAAACAAATTCATAACTGTACCAGTCACACTATTACCCTAAAGCAACAAATATATACAATTAAATTTACTCACTTAAAATACACTAAGACACTATGTACATATCAGTAAAAATATAGTGTATATCTAAGTTTTTATCATGATGTGCCATAAACCTCAAATGCATTGAATGTCGGCCATTTCAGAGGTCTGTTAAATCTACGAAACAATTTTAATACCAAAGTTTACAACCTTTCAAAATAAAAGCTCTCATCTAAATGGCTCGGTACAAAGCATTAAAGCAACAAACAAGGATTATGTTTTTACTGTGAAGACAACTTGCTGAAGAGTATTAATTCTATGAATTTTGTTGCCATGATAGAGATCAGCATAAGTCTGAATTAGCCCAATATGATGAAATGAAAATAATCAAATAATGAACTATGATCTGGCCGTGGTTCGACCCAGTTGCAGACCACTGCTGTAGTTTATATTCAACTCGGTCCACAGACTACTCACAGACGCAGGCCACCTGTGTATTCAAATGTTTTTGATACTGAAGGTATTGCTTGTTCAAATCACACAGCACTCACTCGGCACTACACCTTCATAAACAAGACCTGTGCTACGTGTGAAGCCTATAAGATGAATTGCTTGCAAGATGCGCAACATATACAGACAGACAATAGCAGAAAAGACAGAGTGACTCAATGTAGTTGAGCTAAATTATCTGCTTTAGCTTTTAGTCTATCTGATGGAATTTATGTTAGCAAGAACGCAGTAGAGGCAAAGGAACAATTACGGTCTATAGGCTTCATCCTCTGGGGACTCAAAAAACCTGTGCAAAATTTGATGCTAATGAACCCAGTAGTTGTTGAGATATCTCAGTCTTGACCAAAGCGGTGGACAGACTGAAACAACCATAGATTAATTACTAATAAAGTAACTATTATGTTTTATTACACACTCACATCTTTTAGCTTCAGCCAACTATAGTTTTCTCCATCCCCACTAACATCCATTCCTGGTGCAGTTGTTTTAAATGACCTTGCTCAGTCAAGAGTAAAGAGCATCTCCATCAATTATGAATCTCTGTGTGAGTACTTCAGCAGCTCATTCTGTATGATGGATTTATGCAATCCTGGCCATTACAACACATTTCAGTGCTGATGAACAGCAGAGATGAGCTATTTCCCTGTACATGAGACACCTCTCACATTTATCAACTACTTCAGGTTTTCTCCACTTCATAAAGCATCCTACACACCCACCCTGCAGATCAGGAGTCAGTGTCAGGATTAACTTGTACTACACTGAGTCCTGAATTAAAAGTCATTTATAAAAATAGTCTCTATAGTTAGTTTTGCAATAATACAGATACGATATAAATTCCTATTCAAAGTTAATTTCAACCGTGTTTTACAGGGCTGCTGTAATTAAAACACAATGTTTTTTTCCCTTGTTTCAGTTTCAATAAAAGCTGGTCCATTCACTATGTAGAGATCAGTCAGAGGCAACATTGTTTAATGTGAGAATTACAGCAGTGAAGCATATCATGTTGAGCATGGGCTATTTCACTTGCTCCCTTTTGCATGAATGACCCTCAGATATATATTACTTAGTAAAAGATACTGATCACATTGAAGCTTAGTATTTCAGTTATCGGCATTATAGAAAGTATTTTAACCATTTATCTATTCTGCACTATTCCAGTTTGCACAACACAGTAGTTTTTATTCTTTTTCCCCCGTGCTTTTTTGACTGTGTACTTATATATTGTGTACATATGTCACTTTTGCACTTATGTTGTGTACTTATATGTCTACTGATGTTTACACCAGGGCTTTGAGAGAAACAGCATTTCAATCCCGTCTGTGTGCCGGCATGCAAAGAAGAACATTTATGACTAAGAAAAACAAGAGACTCAATATATTTCTATTCTTTATTTGCATGACTGAGCAGTGTTACTGAAGTCAACTGTAAATGACCAGTCTCTGTCCAGTCCAGGGCGACCACAGTGTGATCACATACAGGAAAAAGAATAAAGGGGTATATAAACTCCCCTGGTTCCTTAATTCACAAGATTCCTGCTATTACTGTCCACTTCACTGTTGTCTTCAGTTTGTCTGTAGAGGCAGCATAAAGTGGATTCACTCAACAGAACAGGGGTGTGTGTGTGTGTGTGAGGGAGCAAGCAGGGCTGAGCTGAGATTTCCTACATTCAGTCTAAGAGTGTAATTACAGCAGAAAGAGAAGGCATATGGCACTGGTGCAGATGTGTTTACACAGTGCACTCAGCTGGGGTTGGCTCATTATCACAGTCAGAAAGGAGGGAGGCGACAGAAGAGCTAGAGCAATCCCTCGCTTCTGTCTCTGGTATGTGAACACGCCATAACGCTGCTTCTTCACCTTGTATGTATGCATGTTGCTTTTCCTCCTACTTCTTCACCACGCCACTTTTGTTGTCCATGGTGACGGGTATCGTGATCTCTGAAGACTCGATGGCGGGTCTGATAAGAGGAGCCTCAATGGTGAGCACCCCCTCAGGGGACAGGGAGGAGGTCACCTTCTCAATGTCAGCTGTGGAGGGCAGGCTGGAAGGGAGCAATACAATATAGTTAAGCTTTACAATAAGTCAAAGAATCACTCCAGTAAATGTAAAAATAGCTCCTGTCCTGATGAAAACACATCACAGACTCTACTTATTCAAAAATTGACTGAAATATCAATAAAATCAGATCCAAGACCAGCTCAGTTTGTCTCCTCAGTGCGAGCTGTGGCCCCTGGATGGCAGCAGAGCCTTGTGAAGCTAAACAACTCAGAGGAGGAATGAATGCTGGGAGGTGGAGGCTGCTGCTGATAGCTGAATTTCATGCTCTGAAAAGCAGCAGCCCTCTACAGGCCAGACACACCCAAAACTCAAAGAGATTCAGGGCAGCAAAGCCATGATAAGAGAACAGGAATCTGAACCGAGCCTGAGAAAGAACCACCATCAAAAAGCCACAGCGAGTAGAGTTTTAATGAGAAAACTGGTTTGAAGTGAGCTGTTGACATATTGCCTGTAGCTTATTTTGAGAATCCACAAAACGAATTGGTGTTAAACTAAATTCTTCAAGCTTGTCTGTAGATAATGAATAAAGTTTAACATGCTGAGTCACTCACGTGTATTTCCTGGTGAAGGTCCTGGACACAAAACCGTGCTCATCCTTCCTCTCCTCATGCTTCCCTGAGGACACAGGAAACATTCTTTTACCAAAATGTGGCACTAATCTGAAAGACACGCTCACTTTTAGGAGTTATGAATGAAAAGATTTTTTTAAATATTATGATGCACCAAATCTGCAAAGGAGGAAATCAAACGGGGAAAAAAATGGGGTGATATGGGGGAAGGAGGCTGCTTGAAGACTGAAGCACCAGCAGAGAGACTGATTGCACTGTGGGGAGCTGATCAGAAAACCTGTTCTAGGCAGAATGTTTTAATCCATAATTGTACACTGAAAGTCTTCTAATAAAGGTTGGTTGAGGATTGTAACCATCAAACTGAAATATACACTATTCAGGATTTTGAGGATTTATTTTCAATTAATCTTACAATTTGTGTTTTGCATTAGCAGTGAAGGCACTGGAGTAAGTCAAATCATTATTACTCAGATACATTGTTTCATAGAAACCCAATGCATTAGCATAAAGACTAGCAAAGGTAACATAATCTACCAGTACCTCTGAAACAAACCAATTAACATTAATATGTTCAATCACATTCACAAATCACAATGTGCTTCGTGGGGCTTGACAAGGTGCACCATCCTCTGGCTTTAACACTCAACAAGGGTGAGGAAAAACCAAACCAAAAAACATCCTTTCAATAGTGGTTCATAACAAACACCTCAGAGAGAGCTGCAAGTGAGGGCTACTTCACTCTGGACAGACTGAAGGGCAATAGACAGATTAATTGATGGATACAAACCTTTTGCCTTTGCACTTAATATAAAGCTATAGAGCCAGGAGCTGGTATCTTAGTGGAACACAGTGACTTTCGTGACATCTTGTTTTCACCGTTAGGTTCCCTGGCATTGCTTGTGCAGAAAGAGTAGTCTGGTAGCCACCATAAACCACAAATTATAAATATGAAGCTCAAGCCAGGAGCTGTTGTAGCTTATCATAAAGCCTGGGGATGGGGATGGGGTTGGGGGGTGGCGGGCAGCTATGTGAAGGGCCTTTGTGGTGGTATTTTTATCTTAACAGCTGTGAGGCCATACCAGCCACAGAAGATCCTCACCAGTCTTAATCACGTCCCGTCAGGCTCTCGCAGGCAATCAGATGCCTAAAACAGAGTCCTTCATCCTGGCTCTGCAGTAATGTGTTTGTTATGACAACCTCCTGATAAAGGTTGCTTTCCTCTGGGAGCTGTCGTCTATCCTACAGGACGACGCTGCCAGCATGAGCAGCTGCCTGGCCGCTTTTTCCTAACATCAGGGGTCATTAGTTTGAGTGTGCATGAAAACGTCAAGAAGGTGGTAGAGTAAAACGAGGCTGAAATTTGAAACGTATACAAAGCTCTCTGATTAAATCTGACATCTATAAACATCGCATTTGTTCACTGGTGAACATGAGGTGGCAAATTCCACTTTGACGAAGCCTCATGCTTTGTTTATCTATGTTGTTCCTGCCTGTCCAGTCTCTCACCAGAGAGATACTGTATGTGCCATAGTCCAGCCCAGAACCCTGTACCAGATCCAGCAGTCCTTTTAAAGTAGCACAGGGTGATTCACAGTGGAGAGGTCAAAACTGACTCAGAGATCAAGGAGCTTTTATTTGATCCATTCCATACCTCCAGGTTCACTCATATTTACTTTAGCCCTCCACGAGCATAGGTGATGAAAACATTTCATGTGGAGATGCAAAACTGGCTTTTGCACCATGTTCATCTGTGAGCTGCTGTGAAAGACGACTCCCACACATTCAATTGTGGGTTGTTATCCGTTGAGCAGGCATGCATCCAAAAGCCCCCGCCCTCAGTACACTGGATCTCAGAACATTGTCTCCTGATATTATGTAACTCTGCAGCAATGCATCTGCCTTGTACTTTGAGTAGCACAAAGTTTCCTGCCTTTTTATGTTGTCTTTGTTCCTCACTGTAGCAGCTTCTCTAAAACTTGGTGCACAGTAAACACCATGTAACACCATTCTGTCATGTAGCCATCAATGCATCTGTCCTGCACATGGTGTTGTTACACTGTGGCTAGATGTTGAGTGGAAATTATGCTCAAAATGTTATTCTATGAAAGTTAAGAAAAAGCATTTCTGCATGCAGTGGGCAACAGTACAGCAAGGAGAAGTGATAAGTGAGAAAAATGAAGACTCACCAGTGATTTCCACCACACCATCCTTGGTTTTCACCACCAGCTCCTCGGGCGAGAAGTGGTTGACATCCAGGGACACCTTCCAGTTGTCTTGGGTCTGCTTGATCTCCGACAGGCCGCTGCTCATCTGGCGGGACAGAGCACGAGCCTGCTGCGCCTGCTGGGCCTGCTGGACCATCATGGCGCCGGGATACATCATGGGAGTGTGGGTCATCATGGGAGTGTGGGGTGTCATGGTGCCCATTTCTGGGGTCAGAACGGACGACCGCAGGTACCCCGGCCAATGGGTGCTTGGGAATGTGCCAAAGTCTTCCGCAAGGGTCGGCATGCCGAAGGACTGGTCGAACATGCGACTGCTCTGGCACCAGTCACGGAATGGGTCCCAGCTCTGGGTGCGGAGCAGGGTGAAAGGAATCCGTCTCTCGGCCATGGCTGCTGTGGAGCGTTGTGGAGAGCTGCAGGCTGCACAAGAAGAGCCCTTTGGCCTGTCTGATGTGTATCCAACGTGCCGTCTGCCTCTCAGCTGAGACTTTTTATACGCACAGACGCCACCCCTGTCAACAGGGTCCTCCCTTGTGATTCAAGCCTTCCCAACTCACACCCCTCCACACCATTATGGAAAGTACTAGAATATCTATTCGTGGCAGACACAGCACACCAATGGAATCCAACAGGAAGGCCCTCCCCTGATTCAGCTGTCCATTGCACTTCTAAACCTGCCCACCCTCATGCTTTGTGTAATCCCCCCCCTCCCCTCTCTGGACGTCCCAAAGAGCCAGAAGAATCTGGAAGGCTGATAGAAAGTTAGCTATGTCTGCTGAGTACAGAACATACAGTCTCAGAATTAGATAAGACTAACATGCTATTTCTAACATGGCTCGGTATAGGCTATGATGTGATGTGTTCCATGCTATTATCAGCCTCATATTAATTCCACAGCTGAATGACAGTTTGTGACATGGATGCGAAAGAACATTGGACACATGCAACATATGTGAGGACAATTCAAAGACTTAAATTCAACGAGAACTTAAGGAATGATAACATTTTCGCCAAAATATTAGATTAATCATTGGCTCACTTGTGAAATCAACAGTCAACTGAAGATTTAACACTTCTTTGTCTACATCTAACCTACCTTCTAATTCCACACACGTCTGTGTCTGTCAAAATCACATCACCCAAAACGTTCATTTTATCGGCTTCATTTTGTGTGTGTATTGTTAATTGCAGGAGAAATTGCAGTGCTGATCTTAGTACAATTTGGAAACACAGTACGATCATTATTAGTAAAGATAAAATAAGCAGTATTACAGTTTAACATGTCTACATCCTCTCATAAACTACAGCAGCGGTCAGCAACTGAGTAAAACCGTCACCAGATAATTTCATCATATTGACTGGGACAGACACACAGCTGCTGATCTCTGTCATAGCAGCAATATTTATAGAATAGTTTCTTCTCTAGCAAGTTGTCTTCAAATTAAAAGCAAAATGTTTGTTTTTTGTTGCTGTGAAGTTTACTCAATAAAAGTGACAGTATATTATAGAAGTGATTGAGGAGGACTCACTAATGACAAGGAATAATTCTGAAGTAGCTCTGGAGCATTAACACAAGCAAACGACTTATTCCAAACAGAAACATTAAAATGGACACTGTTCTAGTTATTTAATAAATGATGTTTTAATGAAAAGCCCCACAATGTGTTTCTATTAATGTGGATACAGGACATTTTCAATGGAAACTGAAGACATTTGACTTGCTGACTACTCTGGAGAAAAGTAGTGACTATGAATTGAAGTGTTATCCCATCGATTTCACTCATGGCAGGTGTGCTGCCAAAGACGCGAGGAAGTGCGACGTTGAGTGAGAAGTTTTGAAGATAACAGAGCATTGTGCTGCCAGTCTGAAGGCGGAGGTCAGCAAGCTCTCAACCATAGAGATTTAAGGTAAACCTCCTGAACCAGTGGAGTGAGACTTCACTGCAACAAAAAGACAAGGCAAGAGAAACTGAAAAGTGCGAGAGAGAATCGGGGGCTGATACCGCGGCTGAGGATAACGTCCGTCAGGAATTGGAGGGGCTGAGAGCAGAACTGGAGGAACTGAGCTGACCTCAGCCAATACCAAGGTTGAGTCTCAGGAAGAAGAAACATCTGTCCTGAGAGATCTGATTTCAAGTGCTGAGAGCTTAACCTCTGATTTATAAGAAACAAATGGTCTGAGTTTACAGATGTGTCAGATGATGTTTGTATTAGTGTGCCAGCACGAGAGAGAGAATAAGAGTGAGGAGAGTCAAGAGGCGCTGAATGAACGAATGCAGTTACAAAGAAATCATCAGAATGCATTCAGGTCCACACACGAAAACAATAATA